AAAAAAAAATATAGATTTGTTCTTAAACAAGATAAACTTGTAATAATCTTTCATTTTTACTATGACTATAGTTTCTTTTTATCTATATTCATTATAAGATTTGACGATGAATACAAATGAAATCGTTCATATGCATCAATTTGAACATTGTGTTAAAACTTTCTTCCTAAAGTTAGACAAAAGTTTCAAAAACAAAAAAACAGAATATGAACATCAATATATTTTTGTCAAATATTTACAATATATCGAAAAAATAGAAACAAAAGTAATACTCGTCTTCCACAAATACAATATCTAATCTATGATTGTACAACAACTGTGATATTATTTTGTTTTTTACAAAGAAATATTTTTAAAAACATCCAACCAGTTAATAAATATAACGGTATTAGACAATGAATATACAAATTTATTGATGAAATTTGTCTATCAAGATATGCTTTATATAACAAATAATTAAATATCATTAAACAAATAATCAATGGTATATGTAAAAATAATTTATGTATAATCAATCGACATGTATATGTTGCTGTTAGACTAGTTCGGTGTTTTTGTTCAAACCATATACGTAATAAAACAATAAGAATAAAATATAAATGTATTGCATTTGTTAAAAATAATGGAAGAAATAAATGAAAATATGTAATTGATGAAATATTCCAATCATAACGTAGAACAATTAGAATTGAATAAATTAACCAACCAGATAGAATAAATAATAATTCAATAGGACGAATACTAAACCATGAATGAAATTCATTAAACGAAAGCATTATTTTTATTATTATAATCAATCAAATCGAAAGAAAGAAAGAAAATGTGAATTGTTTGTCTATCGTTCGATGATTCATCGTTAACATTGGGTAAAATATGGAACAAGATTGTCAAAAGAAAACATATACGTACTATCCTTCTATTCTTTAAATACAAATGGATCCAACTGGTGTTGTTCGACGAGTTATTAATAAACCGCGAGATATTATTCCAAGAAATACAACAATTAATCCTGATGTAAAAATATTTAGCTTTCATATTTTCTTTTAAACTTTTCTATGTTTTCTTCTATTTAGACGTTATTAGATGTACCAGAATTTACGTTTATATATAATGATGCTGATACAATTCATGCAGAAATAGCTGGTAGATATATATTTTTAAGGAATATTAATTATTAAATTGATCTTTTTTTTCTTCAAAGAATTGTATACATATTCCGAAGAACCTGAATTTGTTTGGAATGCTGAAGCATTTAATATCTTATTTCAAGCTAAATGTAAAAGATAAAAAATCGATATTTTCTAGTATATATAATTTTTTGTTTTTTAAGATGGTGAAAATAAAAAATGGAAAGACTACTCAAAAGATGAAAAGATTGATTTTATTATTTATTTATTGGAACAATGTGAACTTGTAGATCGAACAAGAAGATGTCAAGCTATGAGAGCTATTCTATATCTTGTACAAGGTATAATCAAATGAACCTTATTTTCATGATAATATGTAGTATGAGGAACGGATCGTTGCTCGTAGGGCTAGATTTGAATGAGGATGACTTACGAGGAAGGTTCACCAACTTGAAGATCACTTTTGAGCATAAGTAGATACTAGTGTGTCTAGTAAAAACCTAAAAGGATAGCTGCTAATAGCGCTTT